GAAGGTGAGCGTTCGGCTGGCCCCCGGCCCCGGACACCGCCGCTGCCGCCCTCCGCTGCACGGGCAGCTCCTGCCTGAGCCCCCAGGACTCGCACCCGGAGCGGAAAGGCTGGAATACCTCCACCATAGATTGCATCGGATTTACCTTAAAGAGATTTCAACAGGCAAAAGAGAAAAAACCCTCAGAGAAAGGTTAATGCCCAATTGAGAGCTTCTAACACAGAAATCAATAACTAAATCAAATTATTTGGAAAGAAGGAAGCTAATTTTATTCCAAAGGTAATACCAAGAACTTTTTACTTTTAAATTTAAAGTCACCCTGGGCAAATCATTCACCTTCACTCATGTTGCAGAGGAGCCCAAGCTCGCTGGGCCTCCAGAGGAGGCCCTGGCAGGAGCGTGCATGCACGCGAGAATTATTTCTTCAGAACATAAAAACAGACTTTTTGGCACCTTTTCACTTTGCCTCCATGTCCTGGGCGCTGCTGGCTGTTCGACACACCAGGCTGCCCGGAGCCGCGGCCGCTCCCGAACCCACTGGGGTGCCCAGACAAAGGCAACCGAGAGAAAACCCGGGGCACAGCCTGCGTCGGCTGTAGGGCTGCACACGCTGCCCGCAACCACGCTCAGAGCAGTGACGCTGGTCTCCGTCTCCGAGTGAGCAGGCCAAGAAAGGAGGATGGTTTCCCTGCAGGGAAGCACAACACCAGCACCAAGGAAACGTTACTTCTAACACCCGAGGGAGCAGGATGGTCTGCATTGCACTGCGGCCGGATTAACAGCAGCACACTCGATGCGTATCTAATCGCGGGCTATGCCTGTTTGGAGTCCAAACATGGCCAACTACATGTCCCAGGATTCGACATCTGACACATCTGGCCACATCTGTGGAAACTAAGTGTGCTACCAAGGTGGAAACAGGGATAGCTTTGTCCAGCTGAGAACTTAATGGGAACATCCTATGTATTTAGCTTGGATTAATATCCCTTCGCAGCTTTTTTTTTTTTTTTTTTTAAAGTAAAGTCTAGAGAGAGGAGCTGGATTTATTTATGCCAGTTCTAACTAATACTGTGATATTGTTTACTTTCCCAATTAATACAATAATTGGAAACAGCTTGAAAATAATTCAGTTTCTTGCCAGGAAAAAAAAGGCAGCAGAGGCGGCTCCCTCGGCAGCACTGGGAACACGGGGCAGCGCGCGCTGCTGCACGCCTCCGCGTGGCTTCGCTCTGTGGACAATTTAGGCTCCTTTGCACAAAAAC